GCTCGTCGAATTGAGAGTAGTAAAATTCTTTCCTTTTTGGGCTCCGTTTCCGCTTTGGGAAATTCGTTTCCTTTCAGGGATTTGTTTCCTTTTCCGTACATTCAGTTTCGTTTCCTTTTCGGGGCTCGTTTCCTTTTTCGGATCCGTTGCAATCAACCGGATGACAATTTTTCCTTTTCTTGATTCATTCCTTTTTGGGATCCCTTGTTTCTCTTTTTGAGCCGATTCGTTTCCATTTCGGGATATTCGCTCCACTTCAGGAAATTCTTTTTGGCATATTCGCTTCCTGGCCGTTGATCTGGATGATCTCTCTCCCAAAACGGAGGGGACAAAATAATAATAGTAATAATAATAATAAAATCATCTACGACCATACCGCGCAAGTTTTTTTTTTTTTTTCAAGTTATGCTAATTCAACTTAATTATTAATTTCATGACAGATCGACGGCAGGTTAATCCGTCATCGAGAGAGCCAAAAAAAAAAAAAAAAAAAAAAAAAAATCGACATCTGATTCGCGTGCTTGAGCAGGATGAGTAATTGTTGATTGGTCGGATGAGTAATCATTGATTAGTCGGACGAGTAAATGATTGATTGGTCGGACGAGTAATTAGTTGATTGGGTCGGGATGAATAATTATTGATTGGGTCGGATGAGTAATTATTGATTTGTCGGATGAGTAACTAGTTGATTGGGTCGAATGAGGTTTTTTTTTGTTTTTTTTTTTTTGTTTTTTTTGGATTGGGTCGGATAAGTAATTATTGATTGATTGGCTCCGATGAGGGTAATTACTAATTAGTAATTACTGTGTTAATTAGATCGGACGAGGGTAATTACTAATTAGTAAATAGTAATTACTGTATAATTAATTGGGTCAGGTGAGGGTAATTAGTACTAATTACTGTATAATTAATTGGGTCGGGGATGATTAATTGTTGATTGGGTTTGAAGAGGAGTGATTATTGATTTCCGATTGATCACAGGTCCGCAGGGTGCTGTCTGCTTACGTGGAATTAAAACCCCCCAATAGTCCACACGACTACCGTCTGCACCCGGATAGAAAGCCCGGTCATTATTGCTGTATCTAGACTGAAAATTGCCCCAGATACAAGTATAACACCAGGCGCTCTAATCGGACAAATCAAACGCCTTGGAGCGTTCTGCCATCAGATCACCCAACCCCTGCCCAACCCCCACTTCTTCTCCTCCCCCCCCCCCCCCCCCCCCCCCCCCCCCCCCCCCCCACTTTTTGTCCCCCCCCCCCCCCCCCCCCCCCTTCCCTTAGTCTAGTCTAACTTCTTCTTGGGTCCAATCCATTTTCCTCCTCCTTTTCCCCCTCCTTACACGTGGCAATACACAAACCCACTAGAAGACCGACAGAAATACAAAAAAAAAAAACAAAAGAAAAAAACGCTTGTAGAAACCCACTAGAAAACTTACAGAACCTTCCCCCCCCCTCCTCCTGTCTCTTATACACATCTAGTAAGAAATTGGGATGCACTATAACGTTGACGCT